CGGAAGCCCTTTGCCAATATGTGTAAGAAAGACACGCCAACAGTTTGCCATGTAGCTGTGGAATTGTTCTTCCCAGCCCAGAAGCTGGCTCTGAGCCCCATTTCACCACCTGGTACCTAACAGACTCCGCTCAAAACCAGGGTCCTGGCGTAGAAAGAAATGTGTGTGTTTGTGTCTGACTACCCACCCTTCGTGTACCATTTCTTGCATTTCTTTCATAAACAGCAAATTTAAGCTTAATCTGCCACGAAGATCACTTCTAAGGCAGGAGTCACAAGTGTGAGCTTAGGAGAGCTTTCACATGTGCACAGCCTTCACATTCACCTGGGAGAAGGTCACAGGAAAGATGAGCACGTAACGTTTGAACTGGAAGGTGGAGAGAGTTATGTGGCCCAAATCACCCAGCGTCTGATCACTTTCATATTTTTGATATAAATATCCTCAGGCTATTTCCCTGAGGCAAGGAAATACCATTATCCCTGTTTTGGATGAAAGAAGAGCGGGGTTAAATGACTTGCCTAAAATGCTACAGGGATGATGTGTCAGAAAGAGGTAGTGAAACCTTGGCCAACACCAAGCCATCTTTCTGAGCTTTTAGAGACAACAGCTCTATCCAGCCCCCTTTATTTATTTCTCTGTAAGCCACCATGCCAAAACCTCTGCTAAATGAGCGAGTGAGACTGAAGGAAAGCTTTCAGTGGATTGCTTTTTTCCATAAATGGAAATATCACAAATCATTCTGGGAAAACAGGTCTTTCTGTTCTCATCTCTCTTTGTCTGCTGCTCTCCTTTTGGACGTCTTTTCCTCTGCCTCTGGCTCCCAGTTTTCAGATGTACAGTCCTGACCATTTAAAAGTGTTCCTGCCCCGCAGGAAGGGAGTAGCTTTTCATTCTTTGGAACTTACTATTTTGCAATGGACTGCACTCTGCAGGCAAGCAGAGACTTCTGAAAGAGATGAGGCTGCACAAAGCGACACAAAAATAAACCACATCACCCATCCCAAGCCAGGTTCTCGTTGGGGGTAACTCAGTCTGACTCTCACTGCAGCAGAGCTGATGGCTGCCAGTTGTCCTGGATAGACAGCAAGCACCCAAGCAATGACCCAGCCCCATTGGAGGAGGTCTTCCTGAGGGCTGAACGTGCAGTTAACGTTGATTTTCATGCATCTTAGGCATCCAGTCCCTCTTGGCGGTATGGCACGTTGTCTCTGTGCTTAATGCCCCAGCTGGGCAACTTCTGTACTGGTCTAGGCACTGGTCCAGGTGCCTCTTGCACCAATCCTAGCTCCTCCAGACTGCATTTTCCAAAGCTTGGACAGGCAACAAGCAAATGGTGGGGATCTCATCTAAGGACTCCCAGTAGTCCCTAGGATACTTGGAGACAGCTCTGTGATTTTCCACAGACCTGAGCAACCCCAGCCTTTCTGTCCTGAGACATGCCAGAGCTCCTCCTCACCTCCTTTGCAGCCTGCACATCCCAAAGCAGGCTGCTTGAAGAATGCCTGCACTGATACTCCAGGGAGAGGGAGCTGGCTGCCATGAATAAGAGAGGCTGAGAAACAGCAGGAAGAGCTGGTGAATGCAGGAAGGAGGATGAGGGGGGACCCCAGGCTGCGCTAGAAGAGCTGTAGGGAGGAGCTGGAAACATGTGGTTTAGGTTTCTCAAAGAGGCATGCAGGAGAATCTGGAGCGCTCAACACCTGCCTGCTTCAGGGCTCACAGCATGAAACAGCTCAAATTGGGAAGAATGGGAAAGGCAAAAGGACGGAAGCAGAGAGGATACATTGCTTTTAGTCCCTTGAGGGGCTTTCAGACCCCTGCATGCCCTGCCAAATAATGATTTGCTCTCACTGAGGCATTCAGGGGCATTAACTCCAGCGTGACACATGGCTCTTGCTTCCCTGGCGCCGCAAAGCGCAGGTGCAGCAGGGGCAGAGGCTGTCCTGAGAGGCTGTCAGCCCCCTCCCCGCTCACCCCTCTGCCAGCACAGGTGCCAGGGAGGCTGCTGCACCGGCTCAGCAGGCCACAGATGTCCATCAGAGGCTCGCCGAGTGACCTTGGCACGAGAAGTGCCATCCAGGCCTCCTGAAACGCTGCCACCCGTCGCTCGCCCGCTCCGGGTGCTCGGCACCGGCACACCCAGCCCGTGCCCTGGCTAACGCGTGCCCCTAGGGCACGAGGCAGAGGGGCTGTCACCCCCCTTTCACAGGGTGGGACTCTGAGGCAGAGAGAAGAAGCTGCTCTAACAGCACGCCTGTGGCAGAGCAAAAACCGAATCTTGTTCTCCTCTGTTCCCAGTTAGCGCATTAATGACCTAAATTCCACATCCTTTCCCCATCCATCGCCCAGAGGAGCTGGGAGGCATCGGAGGAGAGGGTGCGTTAGCACAGGCAGAGAGTCAGCATCCAGCTACGGCGCCCTGTGCTGAGCGCAGGCAAAGCAAGGTCTAAAGTGGGACTAATCCTGCCCACCCTGCCCTCACAAAACCTGGCAGGGTTGAGCCGGGGAGAGCGCTCAGCCTGACGCAGCGTGTCAGCCCAGGGTGAAGAGCAGCTCCTCAACGCCACAGCATTTTAAGGAAGACAAGGCTGGACGCCCCGATGGCCAAGCACCCTGCTGAGCCAGAGCAGCAAAGCCTTTTGGACACTCAGCACCAGGAACAGATTTTCAGAGAGCCTGCCTGTCCCTTTGCCATGCTGGCTGACTCTCTAGCTATGCCACAGAAGCCCATAGAAAAGACACCTTGCACAAGATGCAGCATCTTGATTATTCACATAGAGATTAATCACACTCAAACACAGCGAGAAATGGCATGAGGGGAGAGGGGGAAGAAAGGATGCAAGGAAAGGATGGTGCAGATTGAGGAGGTTTCCAGATGCGGTGCGTCTTTCCTCTCTGATTCCAGTTGTGGGGCTCTGGCTCTGCACTGGGAGCCTCACCTGGGAGGTGCACACAGGTTCTGCCTGCTCCCCCGGCATGTTCAGGCAGGAGGCACTCAGCATCCAGGATCTGCTGGGCAAGGAGCTGAAATCTGAGGCTGGAGACTTCCCCAGGGCCTTGGAGAGCAGCAGCGTTCACGTGCGCTGTAGAGCAGTGACTGCAGCAAAAGGACCAGGGTGATGAGCTGCTGTCTGTCACAGGCAGACAGTCACAGGCAATCAGGGGCAAGGGGAAGGACCCCCTTCATGCTGAGTCTGCCTTCCTCACAGGTATTTAAGTGGGCAAGGAGAAGGGTGGGAGTATGGCAAGGGAATTTGCTCAGCTATGAAGCTTTCCTTCCAGAAAAGACATGGCTGAGAAGGAGGCATTTCTTGAATGAGGTAACTGGATTGGAGATGAGTGATTAATAACCCTCTTTCATAACCCACAGTTTCAGTGTGGGAATAACACTTCAGAGGTACATGGAGAGGATTTGTTCCTACTTTCTTCTCCTATTACTTACCTCTTACATGCACACAAACTCCTCTCTGCTGTTCTCTAGCCTCTTCATGGAAGCTCTTTGAACTAGTGGTTAAACATGATAGGTATCTCAGAATCATCAGACGCAAGCTAATGGGATGTAGAACAAACTGAACTTGGGGTCTGACCTAGAGGAACCCACCTGCCTGCCTTCTACAGCTGTTTGCTCAGCACTACCTCCCAAAACATCCCAAACCTTGTTCCAGCAAGGTCTGGCCTGAAGAAGAAACTCAAGGAGAATCCATTGAGCTTGGTCCTTCTTCCAAATATTCCCAAATACGTGAAGGATCATTGGAATTCATCTGGAATAAACCTTTCAAGACATGACTCGAGGACCTGACATGGTCCCTGCAGCTCTCAGCCTGGATAGGGTTGGCCTAGAAGAGCTCTGTGTTCCTCAGAAGCAAGTCTTTCCTGAGGCAACAACCACAAGTGTTGTGGCTTCATTGTCCTTGCACCCTGTACACACAGCTGGTCTCATGGCTGGGCTCAGGGCCAGGGTGGCAGGCAGATATCCCAGCTTGCCACAGCATTTGCCACTCTCCAGACTTGGACTCCAAATTCTTCTGCTGAGGGATCTCTCAGCCTGAGCCACTTGGGTGGCTGACCTCTGGTGAGGGAGCCCATGGGATCACCATTCCTGTCCATGTACCTCATGCAGACTCTGCATTCCTCCTTTCTGGACAGATTACATCCATCAATTCTGTGTTAACAGCCAGCCAGTGCAAGAGTCCAGAGGAAAATACAGGGGTAGGCAGGAGAAAAAGTTTGGAGGAACCCCAGGAGGTATAATGAAATTGCCTTCTACAGGGTCACCCCTGTACAAGCATGAACAACTTGACAAAGATAAGAGCCTGGTAGACATCCCAGATGACAAAAGACTGGGAAGATGTCACCAGCCTCCTGCTGGGATGGCTTTGCTGGTCATGGAGTGTGTGAAAAAGGGTGCCCCATGACTAAGGGTAGCAGAAGGCCCTGTGCCTAAACCAGCCTGATGGATCTGAGGGTGACCAGACTTTCCTCCCCTAGTGCAGAGTGTTTTGCTGCTGAGCTTCATACTCACACTTGCACCAAGCTTCTTGTAGCCTTAGTCTGCAAGAAGACACAAGAGGAGACCTGATAAAGGTATGCAAAAGAAAACCAGTCACACAGAGAAATAGATTAAAAGCTTTTGTTCTTTTCATATTGCACCAGAACAACGGGACATATCCTGCCCATGAAATGAATAAGCAACAAATTCACAGCTGAGAGATCAAAAGCCATATCTGCTGGTCAAAGCCTCTGCTGCTGGGCTAGGTGAGAGTCAGCCTGGATCCTGACAGCAAATGCCATGTTCCCGTGCAAATCAGAGGGAGGCATGCAGGCAAATGTGTGATGAGAGTACCTGGGCATTTAATGGGCATCCCTGCACACGTGGGTGTGCTGCCTGGGAGGAAGGCAGGGTGGGCGCAAAGGGTGATGCAGAGGGCAGCTGCTCCTGTGAGGCAGGTTTTGGTGTTCTCATTTTTTTTTTTCTTTTTTTTTCTTCTCTTGTTCCCTAGGGAATTTTAAAGGTCTGTGTAAGCAAATCGATCACTTCCCTGAGGATGCAGATTATGAAGCCGATACAGCAGAATATTTCCTCCGTAAGTCCACAGGCTCTTCTCCTTGCACTGCCTCCTGGGTGCTGGCGTCGGGTGCCTTTTGCTTCCTCAAGGCAGGGTGGTGGAGGTATGGAACCTGGGGAGGCTCAGTGGGCCAGGGGAGGCGACCCCAGAGCCTTGCCAGCTCCCCCGAAACGGCTCCACCCTCACCTCCCTGTGGCCCTGCCCCATAATAACCACCAGTGGTGTTTTTTCTGAATGGCAATGAATTACCATATAAAACCAGAGACTTAATTCAAATCCATCAGAGAGCTGCTGAGTGGGCATGAGGTCAGGACTGGGCTATCTGGGGCAGTATGTGTGTGTGTGAGTGAGTGTGTGTCCTCCTCAAGCAAAGGAAGTTTATATTTCCTTACTTGCTACTCCAGTTGCATCAGACTTAAGAAATTATCTGGGTTTTGTCTGAGGAGCACCTATTGCTGTCTTCACCTTTTCCCAAAGACCGCTTACTTAAAGAGGCTGCAGATCTAAACTTTGCTGGGTTTAGAGGTTTCAGTGATGGGAACAGGAAGCAGGAATAAGGAGAGTGAGAGCTCTTGGAAGGAAAAAACCTGGTGCTCACCCACAGCCCCTGGGGCAGGGCAGGTCCACATCATGTGTTGCCCTTCCTGATCAAAAGGCAGCATTCCCACCTGCCCGAGAAGCAGGAGCTTACTCTTTCTGTAGGACAGCTGAACAGGGATCACCCCTCTTCCTAGGTCCCCACCTTGCTATCCTGCCCTCTCTCCACAAGCCCAATGCCTTTTGGCATCACAAGAAGAGATCTCCTTTCAGAAATCTGAGATAAGAGCTTTTGACCTCCCAAGGTTAAGCATCAGAGGTCTGCAAAGGCCGGGAGTCTTTCAGAACAGCTCCTTGTCATCTGGGCGTGCTCCAAGCCAGATGTGGAGACCCAGCCCTGCGGCAGGGATGAAAGGGATAATTTAGGCTCTGTGAGGCTCATTTGTATGTGAAAAGAGAGGGATCTTAGGTTGCTTCCTCTTGGTTTCTCAAACCGTTCTTCATCCACTGTAAATTGTAAATAACCCAGGGAGATTGCTTCTTTCAAATGCTTTTTCTGCAGCACTGGTCCCTTAGTCACTGCATGGCCTCTGAAGAGCAGAGCTGAGGATTGGGGTTTGATCCACTTTGGCACAGCAACTGTGCAGGCTGCCTCCGAGGGCAAACCAGCTCTTGCAGAGCTGTTTGGGAGCAAGGAAGCTTCTTGCAGCATCAGCTGCACTTCAGAAAGAAGAGTTGGGGGAGGGGGGAGAACATCTCAAGAAATATGGGTCTGTTACCGCAGAGGGAACAAGATCTGAAGACAAAAATTGGCCCAACGTCAGGATCTGACAGTGTCCCCAGGGTAGAGCCCTTTTTAAGAAAGAAACAGGTTCAAAGAGGGATTTGGCAAGTCAATAAAGGACTACTTGGGTCAATCCTGAGGGAAGTGGGATTTCTGCTGGCTTAGACTTAACTGGAGAAGGACCCCACTGAACAGTTTCTTCCCAGGAGTTCTGTCAAACCAGAGTTCCTGGGCATTCTGCATGGGCAATGCATGATGGTACAGGCAAGAACAGCTAGAAAATCATTTATTAGTATCAGACTAGGCAATTCCCTCATTCAGGGGACCAGGACAATTGTGGGGCAGTGTCCATGGCCTGGCTAGAAGTGCTTAGGCTTTATTTCTGCCAGCTACCCACATAAGGTGTCTTAGGCTTTTTGAAATCAAACGCCTGTTGTCAGAGAGGAAGGAAAAACACTCCTGAGTTTCTGTGCCAGAAGACACTTAAGAACAGACAGATGATACAAGGAAGCATCCAAACACCACCATGAGTCCCCTTCTTTTTAGACCAAAGGCTCTGGACCCAGGAAGACTGAATGAGATTCTGCTCCTCTCTTGCTAGCATGATCCTCCTGAGGGACAGAAAGCAGAGGCCGAGTAAGGCTGCTATCCTCCCCCCTCACCTGATGCCCACAGTTCCCCATTGTCAGCCAGCAACTTCGTGTTCTCCCAACAGAGATAAATTTCAGAATTAAGACCCAGATAAAACCGATGTGGTCTGGGCCAGGTTGTGGGACTGACCGAACATCCCTCTAGAAACTCTCCAAACAGCAGATGTCTGCTTGATGTTTGCTTACTGCCATTTGAGCTTCATGTTGTCGAATCCTGCCTTGCTTTCCAGAAGCTATTAAGATGGTTATTATCACTATCCTGTTCCCTGAAACACAGCCAGGCAGAACTGGAAAGCAAGCAAGAGGTTCCTCTCTGCCTTCAGCATTCCCCATGCACAGGCAGTGGGCTAGCACCCCTTTCAAAGAGCCAATTGCTTGTGCCTGGTGGGATCCTGATGCCAACCTGGTCTTTGAATCGTGGTCTCTGCCAGCTTATGAAAAAGTCCTGCATTTTCTTCAGTAGGGTTCATTCTTGCAGGCAAGGAGGGATTAACCTTCATCCCCCTTCCAGATCTTTGGCCCACAAGCAGAATTGCACCAGCCCACCTGATACCATTCTTTCTCAAGCAAGGCTTCATTTCACACTTCAACAGCTTATTTTCTCTTGGGCAGGGAGGACAGAAGGCCTTCCTAGTTAAAAAATATTAACATGGACCCCACAAACTCAGGCAGACCATTGGTACCCACCGAACAACCCACGAGCAGTGTATGTGCGCCTGGGTGTGTGTATAGGCAGTCCTGGCCTTTCGCTGCCTGAATACAAGAGACCCCCCCAGAAGCTTTGGGGTATGTTTTGCATGCACGTATGAGTCTATACGTGTATCTCTGCCATTGCCCTCTGCTGGCTGAGCTCTTCTCCTATCGACCGATGGAGAGTGTGCGTGTGTGGGAGCTGGCACATCCAAACCCATCACTGCCCTCTGGAAGGAGCCCAGTTGTTTAATCGCTAGGATGAGCCCTGGCAGGCAGGCAGGGCTGGGGCTTGTGCCTCTCGGTCTTTGCTGCAGCTGCAGAGCAGTGCGTGGCACCAGGAGCTGCCTCCCAGCCCCTAAAAAAACCCCAGCAACTCTCTCCTTGAGACGCTCGTGTCCTCTCACGAAGATTGGGCAGCTTCACAGGAAGCATTCGGGTTGCTGCTCTTTGAAGAGCGGGCTCAACCCACAGTGCCCCACAAGAGGAGCAGCCTGATGGTGCCAGGGCTCCCCCTCCAGCCCATAGTCCCCTCGAAAGTGGAGGAAAAGGCAGCATGAGGGGGGACAGGCAGCACGGGCAGGCTCCCAGCTGAGCCACCAGCCCCGCAGCCCGCTCTGCCTGCCCATGCGTGACCACCAGCTTCATGGCAGCAGCCTGGGCATGGGCGAGTTGTTTTGGACTGCTGTCTTTTTCTGACACACTTGGTTTCTTTCTCCCTCCCTCCATTCCCCGATGCCTTTACCCCTCCTTGAATTACTCCCCCTGACACGTTGCCCTCTGTCTCTACCCTTCAACCCCGCCCGCGGAATGTGCTCGCACACCCCGGTCCCCCCACCCTGGCACCGTTTCCATGCCCCTTTTTCCTCTCTCTCACACCTGCGCTGTTCTTTCTGCCCCTCTCCCTCTCTCCTCTGCAGGGGCTGTTAGAGCCTCCAGTATTTTCCCGATCCTGAGTGTGATTCTGCTTTTCATGGGTGGACTCTGCATTGCAGCCAGTGAGTTCTACAAAACCCGACACAACATCATCCTTAGTGCCGGTATCTTCTTCGTGTCTGCAGGTAAAGGGATGCACAGGGCCTGACGCCCAGGAGATGGGCTCCAGGGGAGGTGGGGGAGCTGCCCAGCTGGAGCATCCTGCAGGGGCACGGCTCCTTAGGGAGGAATGACTGAATTCCCTAGCCCTGGTGAGCCTTATCTGGGGTGAAAGCAGCCTCCCAGGGATGCCTCTCCACAGCAGGCATCAGCCTCTGCAGGCAGGGGCTTTCCTGCTGCTTGGGAGCTGCTGGAGGGAGAGGGTTTCTCTCTGTCCTGCATCTCTCAGGGAGCAGCCTGCAGTGCAGCCAAGGGACACGGCAGGCACGCAAGGAGCGTCTCGCCCAAGTTTCCACCCAGAAAGGATGGGTGGCTGGGGGTCCTCCTGTCCCCACCTCCCAGGGGCTGGGGCTTAACCCTACAGCCCCCCACCACCACCACGTATGACACTCCTAACTTCTCCTTCTTTCTCTCCCTCGCCGTCTGGCTGGCAGGTCTGAGTAATATAATTGGCATCATCGTATACATATCAGCCAACGCTGGAGACCCCTCCAAGAGTGACTCCAAGAAGAACAGCTACTCCTACGGCTGGTCCTTCTACTTCGGGGCCCTGTCCTTCATTATAGCCGAGATGGTGGGAGTGCTGGCTGTCCACATGTTCATAGACCGGCACAAACAGCTACGCGCCAACGCTCGTGCCACGGACTACCTCCAGTCCTCTGCCATCACCCGCATCCCCAGC